GATTGCCCAACCTTCCTTCCGAGGAGTGGCTGGTGGGTTTGAACCGCCAGCCTTCTGGCTAGCAGTCAAGTGCTTTATCCACTATGCTACCAGAGCTCTGTTTGCTTTAGCTATTCTGTATTGAAAAGCAAATTTCAGAGTCTCTTCCAAAGTCCATATTGGTCTTTTCTTTCTTTACTATGTTTTTAATACCTTTTTCTTTCTTCATATATTATGTCTTTGATGCTATCCCACAACTCATCTGGTCTTCAGCCATTCGTGTTCAGTGTGTCAAATTTGTTCTTGAAATGGTCTCTAAATTCAGGTGGGGTATACTCAAGGTTGTACTTTGGCTCTCATGGACTTGTTTTGATTTTCTTCAGCTTCAATTTGAACTTGCATAAGAGTACTTGATGGTCTGTTCTGCAGTCAGCCCCTTGTTCTGACTTATAATATTGAACTTCTCCATTGTCTCTTTTCCACAGATGTAGTTGATTTTATTTCTGGGTATTCCATCTGGTCAGAAGGCTGGTGGTTCAAACCCACCAACCGCTCCTCTGAAGAAAGATTGGGCAATCTATTTCTGTAGTGATACTGCCTCAGAAACCCAAGGAGGGGTCACTATGAGTCAGATCCAATTAGACGGCAGTGAGTTTGTTTTTTATGTTTTCTCTTTATTCCATCTGGTCAGGTCCATGTGTATAGTTGTTGTTTACATTGTTGTAAAAAAGTATTTGCACTGAATAAGTCGTTGGTCTTGCAGAATTCTATCATGTGACCTCTGGTCTCAGTTTCTATTACGAAGGCCATGTTTTCCAGCTACTGACCCTTCTTTGTCTCCAACTTTTGCGTACAATCATTGCTATATATCAGGGAATGTTGATTGCATATTTGATTCATTTCAAACTGCAGAAGTTAGTACACAATTCAATTTTTTCATTTTTGGCATTAGTGGTTGGTGGGAAAATTTGAATAATAGTCATCTTAACTGATCTTCCTTATACCCACTGCTATCGAGTTGATTCCAACTCATAGCGACCCCCATTGGGTTTCCATGGTGATAAATCTTTATAGAAGTAGATTGCCTACTCTTCCTTCCATGGAGTGGCTGGTGGGTTTGAACTGCCATCCTTCTTGTTAGCAGTCAAATGCCTTAGGCACTGCACTACCTTATGAGTATGGATATTATCCTGTCACTGACAGCATTGTACTTCAAAATAGATCTTGAAATGTTCTTTTTGACAATGAATGTGATGCCATTCCTCTTCAATTTATCATTCCTGGCATAGTAGACTATATCATTGTCTGATTCAAAATGGCCAATACCAGAGCATTTTAGTTCACTAATACGTAAGATGTTGATCTTCAAGTGTTCCATTTCATTTCTGATGACTTCCAATTTTCCTAGATTCGTACTTGTTATATTCTAAGTTCCAAATTGATGGATGTTTGCAGTTGTTTAGTCATGCCACATCACCAAAGGAAGGTCCTGAATGCTTTACTCCATCCACATCATTAAGATCAACTCTACTTTGAGGAAGCGACTCTTCACTAGGTGTATTTTGCATGCCTTTCAACCTGAGGGGCTCATCTTCTGGTGATCTATCAGAAGATGTTGTGCTGCTGTCTGTAGGTTTTCCCTGGCCTGTTTTTTCAGAGCGAGATTGCCAGGTCTTTCCAGTCTGTCTTAGTCTGGAAGCTCCACTGAAACCTGTCCACCATGGGTGACCCTGCTGGTGTTTGAAACACCAGTGGCATAGCTTCCAGCATCAAAACAACATGGAAGTCACCACAGTACAACACACTGAGGGACAAGTGGTGGGACCCTCAGTCTACTGATCTATAAAATGGAGGTCACTGTTTCTACCCTACAGAATGGTTGGGGAAAAGTCAACAAGAAAATCCATCTGAAACAGGTCCTCTACAAATACTGTTTTTTTCCTCCTCTTTAATCCCGCTGCCCCTTTGACCCCAACCTAAACAGCAATGTCAAAAATTTATTCAGCTTTTTATTCCCCTCTTGGAAATAAGGCGTAGCCTGCCCACATTGTTGAGGGAAGTAACACATAGACTTACATTCAGATTAAGGCATAAGTAAATGACATAATTGGCAAAGATTTATTGTTTATGGTATGTAAGGCACTGGGCAAGATACACTGAGGTCTTCTTTTGAGGAGCCCTGAGCCTAAGGGAGGAACTATGGAAATTCCTTTAAAGCATAATAAATCACAGTAACACAGGCTAAGTATATAGCTAATGAGATGTACAGCTTATTAGCTATTCAGTTATTACTGATGCTTGCTTGGGGCCAAGCTGGATTAAGGGGAAAGGCAGAAAGTTCCGAGGCTGAGTACCAGGAGGGAAAGGAGGACAGAGAAAGGAACCTGGAGCGGGAAAGGCAGCCTGCTTTATTACTTACATTTTTCATTTTGCTTAAGACAATCCTGAAGAGCTTCCATAGGGAGCGGTTGTCTTCTAGGTGATTTCTACCATGGAATCCAGAATTGTTCTGCTTAAATTGTTTAGCAATGGAATAGGAAACAGGACTGAGAAAGCCACTAAAGAGTTGGAGCCTGGGGACACTTGCTGATGAACAGACAGCACCCATAATGTATTCATTTTTTTAATTGTAATATTTATTTTCATTTTTTATAAAAGATATGCAAATATGGAAGAGCTGGAAAAAGAAAGCAAATGTCACCCAAAATCTTAAACCAATTACCATTATAAGCTGTTCATTCTTTTGGTGTGTTTATTTCATATGAAAGCTCTAGTGGTATAGTGCCTAGGGCATTTGACTACTAACCAGAAGGCTGGTGGTTCAAACCCAGCAGTGCTCCTCAGAAGGAAGATCAGGCAATCTACTTCTGTGGGAAGACTGCCTTGGAAACCCAAGGAGGGGTCACTATGAGTCAAAGTGGACTCGATGGAAGTGAGTTTTCTTTTTCCCCATATATTTCCTTTGTATGTACTTCCTTGATATATAGATATGCATACAAAGCTCTTATCATTTATTTATTTTGTTTTATACGTGCTTATTTGTTTTCTAAAAATTGACATATACCATTATACCCTGATTTTGTAATATGAAACTTTTTTCTTTTATCAGTACATAACAGACTTATCCCATATTGCTAAATATTCTATATAATGTTTAATGGTATCGTAATCCACTATTTGATTGCTGTTGTTGTTAGATACCATCAAGATTCCAACTCATGGTGTCCACACATGTGCAGGGTACAGCTGCTCCATAGGGTTCTCAGGGCAGTGGACTTTTGGAAGCAGATTGCCAGGCCTTTCTTCCAAGGCACTTTTGGGTGGGGTGAACTGCCATCCTTTCAGTTAATTGTTAACTGCTTAACCACCTGTGTCACCCAGGGACTCCCTTATTTGGTTGTACCCTAACTTAAATAAATCCTGTTTAATTTATCCTGGACATTACATAATAATACCTACCACATAGAGTGGCTGTGAGGATTGATTTTTGTTTTACAGCAGTTAGAACATTGCCTCTCCTACAATAAGCACTATGCATGTGTTTGCTGCTATTAACAAGTGGTAACATTTTCAATATTATGGACAATTGTAGTAATACTTTTATCAACACATTTCCCCCCACATCTATGTTTATCATTCCTATAAGTGGCTTTTGATTTGCACTGCCGAATTACTTCAGAAACTTGTACCAGTTAAATCCCATCAGTCCTACATGGAACTTCCCATTTCCCCATACCCTTGCCAAGTCTGAATATTACAAAATATGTGATCTTTGCCAAGCTTAAAGGTAAAAAAAATTCTTTAGTTACAGTTGAGATTGATTATATCTTTACCACTTGGAATTCCTTTTCGTGAATTGCCTACACATATTCTTTGTCCATATTTCTATGTTGTTGTTCTTATGTGTGCTCAAGTCAGACCTGCTATTGCTTTATATAAATAGTATTAATTCTTTATATAAAGAATATATAAACACATGATATAATCATTTCCCTGGTTTACCATTTGCCTCCTAATTTTGTTCTTGATAGTTTTTGTGCACCAAAGGTTTATATTTTTATGTAATTATATTGGCTATTCCTTTTACCAAACCAAACTCACTGTGGTCGAGTTGGATCCGATTCATAGCAACCCTTCCTTGGGTTTTCGAGGTGGTTGGGCAATCTATTTCCGTAGTGATACTGCCTCGGAAACCCAAGGAGGGGTCGCTATGAGTTGGAGCCGACTCTATGGCAAATAACAACGACAACAACAACAATTCCTTTAAGGGAGCTCTGGTAGCGTAGTGCCTAAGGCACTTGACTGCTAACCAGAAGGCTGGCGGTTCAAACCCACCAGCCACTCCTCAGAAGGCAGGTTGGGCAATCAACTTCCATAGTGATACCGCCTTGGAAACCCAAGGAGGGGTCGCTATGAGTCCGATCTGACTCAATGGCACATAACAACACAACAACATCTTTGGTTCTTAAAGAGTCCCTGGGAGGTGGCACAAAGAGTTAAGCGCTGTACTATTAACCCAAAGGTTGTCAGTTGAAACCAACCCAGAGGCACCTCAGACGACAAGCCTGGGGACCTGTTTCCAACAGGTCACAGCTTTGAAAACTCTATGGAGTAGTTCTACTCTGCACATGTGGGGTTGTCGTGAGTCAGAATCAACAGCAATTTTAAAAAGACGCTTCCTACCTCAAGGTGGAGAGATTCACCTTTATTTTCTTCTAGTTTGTATTTAGTTATTTATTATGGATTTTACATTCAAATCTTTAATCTATCTGGAATTTATTTGGTTGAGTGGTGTGAGAAAAAAGGTTAGCTTTATTTTCCTTGCCAAATTTTGCCAGTTGTCCCCAAACCATTGAATAATCTCTTCCTACCCCCACTAATTGTAGCCTTTATAATCTGCTAAATCTTTATATATATCCACTTGGGCCAATTTGTATAGCCCTTCATACATGAGGATGTTCTTGTCAGGTTAATTCATTTCTGCTAAGATTCTTCTTTTTTTTTTTTTAACATGTTTTAAGGCAATACAGGACATTGAAAAAGAATGGGCCAAACCCACACAGGCGCAGAGGGAGAAATTAGCTACACTTCAGAAAGAAGACAGTCAGACAAAGGTGAATCAAATTTTGTACTAAGAGAAATCATTTGGAAGGGAGTTAAGGAAACATACTGGAATTGAGTTGTTTCTGTATTTTAATTTATAAACCCATCAAGCACTAACAGTGGGGCTCTTTTTAAAAATGAGAATATCTTTATTGATTTTTCTGATTATAAAATTAATGAAGGCTCATTGTTTAAAGAGTCTAACAATACAGACACTGTGAATCTTCTGCCAAGCTAATTAATATAGATCCTCAACATTATTTTTAATGACTACTGAATATTTCGTTTCACAGCTATGTTATCGTTTAGCTAACAAATTTTCTATTATTGGACGTCCAGAGTGTATCCATCTTTTTGCTGCTATAAATCACTTAGGCAGTGAGTGCCAGGAGGGCCAGGCCTATGTCTAATTTACACACACTCTGGGTATTCCCAACACCTGGTAGAGCTCCTGGCTGAACATTCGTGAAAACTGCAGCCAATATCTTCTGCCTTTGAGTTCATGTTCTATTATTCCTTAGGATACATTTCTAAATGTCCATTTTTAAAAGCTTCAATTAAGGTTGCAGCAACTCACACATCTCCTGCACCACTCCCCCCACCCCCATCATTGTGTATGAGTGCCTGACAAATAAGGACTATTTTAACAGAAGAAATGGTCTCTGCTTCATTGTATTGTCTCTTTTTATTCTTTAGACTTTGCAGTGTTCACACCAAAGCATTGATTTTGAATAAAATGCACTTAGGTGAATATACAATGTAATTCTTTTAAGGTTCAGACATTTTGAAAATCTGGTTGATGAGCTGCAAACAAATGAGTAAGTAAATATGAAAGAAAAGAATAAGCCCATATTGCTACATTAGAGAATTTTTTTTTTTTTTGGTGTTCCACCTTAGCTTTGACCCCAAAATATACACACTTAACCTGTGTATGTACAGGAAGTCCCTGGGTTATGAAATCTGACTCATGTACAACCCTCGTTACAAACCAACCCTGGTAAAACCTACTGTATTACAAATTTAAGGTGCATACAGTGGTTCGTAACAACAAACAGGCACTACTTTGTGAAGTGCATCAAAACAGCATTATTATTATTGTATGACAATGTTAAAGATGTTTTAGTGTATCTGGAAATGTTTCTTTGATGTTTTTCGTGTATAGAAAGGTACACCATATACTATATACTAAGGCAAACCTCTCACTGACATTAGATACCAACCACACTTTACTGTTCCAACTTATGTACAAAATTGCCTGGAAAAGACTTAGATACAAAACTCGTTTGTAATCCAGGGATTGCCTGGGTAAAAATAGTTTTAAATTTTGACAATGTCAGATTCTATTTTGATGGATAGAGTGTTGCCACTTCTTTGGAAATAATTATAAATTATATACCGCAACCAATTCTAAGTACATTTCTGCCCTATAAATTCTTGATTTATTAAGAATGTTGTTTTTGTCATGTGGCTTTACCTTGCCCAATTTATATTTGTATTATTGCCACAAAAACAAGTTTTATTTTTCTCTGATGAATTCTTTTGACCTGAATTTGCCATTCATAATAATAAATTCATAACATTGGTCTTTTAACAACCTTTACTTTAGGTCCATGAATTAGATGGAAAAAAAAATCATTATTGAAATTAACCTGACTCATTTTCTCTTTAAAATCTAATTATACTGCTATAAAACGAACATTATTTGTTTGTGAAATTCTTCTTCTGCTAATGGAGATAACACATTAACAACTCTTGCTTTACTTTTTCTACATGTATAAGAGAACTTGGAATTGAAAATGAGTGAAATTAATTTATAGAAACAGTCTTTTGACATAAAGCAGAGATCAGCTGTCTATGGCTTACAAGCCAAATCTAGCCTGCTGCCTATTTTCGTAAATAAAGTTTTATTGGCACACTTCCACACTCATATGTTTATGTATTGTCTAAAGTGGCTTTTGTGGTGTAGTGGCAAAGTTGAGCTGTTGGAATAGAGACCTTATGGCCTGCAAAGCCAAAGATATTTATTATATGACTCTTAACAAAGACATTTACCAACCCCTGATCTAAATGCAAATATATAAACATACCTTCAGCAGCTATCCCTGTTAAATTGTCTTTATTAGATACAGTCTTCTTAAGAGATTTTTTTTCCAGATTTGTGTCTTCTTGCGTTCATATAGTCAATAATATCATGACACCCCCTTTATTGAATGGCAAATGCCAATAAGCATTGTGAGCAAGTTCATCACTAATTTTCCAGAGAAATGGAATTTAATTTTTAATTAAACAAAAACGCTTCATTTCTTTTAGCTTATAGCAGTCAAAATATTGTATCGCAAATTCTTTTTTAAATGTTGCAAAGCAATAAAATAAACTATTGGAGATATATGTAGTGATACTGCCTTGGAAACCCAAGGAGGGATCGCTAGGAGTTGAGTCCGACTAGATAGCACATAACAACAACAAATAAACAAGAAACTATTGTAGCAAGTGCATGTGTCTACTCTCTATATGCTCTGTTGCAAGATTACTCAGCCCCCTGCCACCACCACCCCATATCAGGTTGTTGGTGTTGTTGGGTGCCATCAAGTCAAATCAATATCTACTCACAAGTGAGCCCAAGTGTCAGAGTAGGGTTTTTGAGCCTGTAATCTTTAGGGAAGCAGATCATCAGTTCTTTCTCCCACAAAACCATGGGGTGGGTTTGAACCCTCAACCTTTCAGTTAGCAGCCAAGTGTCTAACTGTTACACCACACAGGCCTCCTTTTATCAGATACTCGTGACCTATAATTTCTGATGTTTCCCACTGATCCAAATGGAGGTGGGGCAGCTTAATGCATCTCCCAAGCTGAAGCATGGGCCTCAGCATAAGGAGCTAGTACAACACATGCCTGGGAGGAATGACAGCCTCATATACTTGTCCCATATGCGACTAAAGGAGGCAGCTGTCCTTTGCTGCTTATTCTCAATGCATTTTGTTTTATCAAAGAGCACTTCACGTAGTCCTTGAAAGGGAGGTATAAGGACTGGAGAGGTTGTCACGCAGTGACCTTCTTTCAGATTTAACCATCACTGACATTATTGTTTTTGTTGTTATGTGACGTCAAGTTGGACCCAACTCATAGCAACCCCTCCATGGGTTTCCGAGGCAGTATCACTACTGAAGTAGGTTGCCCAACCTTCCTTCTGAGGAGTGGCTGGTGGGTTTGAACCTCCAGCCTTCTGGTTAGCAGTCAAGTGCCTTAGGCACTACACTACCAGAGTTTCCATCACTGACGTTAGTCACGATCAATTCTGTAACACCCAGCAACAATAACAAAGTGAGAACTCTGGGGGAAAAAAAAAGTAAGCACTGTTCTCTCTGTACGTTGTATCTACACTCACAAGGCAGGATCATCATGGAAACTGGAGGTCCAAACTGGTCACCAAACCGATGTCAGCTCCTTTAAATGCCATCATTCACAATAATACTTTGTTAAAACACAAAATGTACCAGATAGGAAGCTAGGACACCAGCAAACTGCAACTGCCACTGTTCTTAGATCACTTCAAAAGCAATGGGAAGAAACTAACCTTTAGCAATGACACAGAAAGTATACCCTTGACACTCTTGGACTGTCTGGAACTCTCCCTAAAAACCAGACCTGCTCTTACTCTCATTTCACTGCTATTTCCAAAGTCTCTTTCTCTGACAATCATCATCTAAAATAGCCTGTAAAAATCGACAGCTTTCCTCAGCTTAGTTTTATTGAAAGGCAGCATTTTAAATGTGCACTTCTCGTTAATTTTGCTATGTTCTAATCTTCTGAGATGGAGCCATGCCTACCCATTGACTGTTCACTCCCCTGTTTTCTTCATTCTTCATTCACGCACTAAATATTTTCCTTCCTAATCTGTACCAAAGCTGTGTCACACCTGCAGAGACACAATGGTGCATAAGGCAGAAATGTCCCTGCCGTGGCCACATACACCATGGATTTCTGCAGAGCTTATTATCAGATAGCACAGGGGCATGGTCTTCATGCAAATGGTCAACAAGAAAAAGATGCTTCCAGTGACCCTGAATTCCATGTGTTCTTGTAGATTGGTGATAGTTTCTGACATGAGGTTTTCATCTGCTTCAAGTGACCTATTGCTCCCTTCCCTGTTTTTGGGTGCAGTTTTTGGAGCTGTCTCGAGAGGTATGGCACTATGGATGCTTGCAGCTGGACCCCTGTACCTGTGACTACCCAGAACCAGGCTGTCTAGCTGTTGTTTCTGTTGGCAACAATGAAATCAGCTGCCACATAACCCTGCCTGATGACCAAACTGAGGACATTATTTTCCTGATGAACAGGGTCAAGTGCTGGCAGGTCACTTTCCTTGTGAGTATCTTGGCATCTTACCTTACCAAGGAAGCCTCCTCCGATGATTTTAAAATTCCCCACTTAGATGAGGTACCTGTTGTTGTTACGTGCCATTGAGTTGGCCCCCGACTCATAGCAACCCCTCCTTGGGTTTCCGAGGCAGTATCACTACAGAAGTAGATTGCCCAACCTTCCTTCCGGGGAGTGGCTGGTGGGTTTGAACCACCAGCCTTCTGGTTAGCAGTCAAGTGCTTTAGGCACTGTGCTACCAGAGTGATAGACAAATGTATAGGGATGAAAGTTTATTAATAGTTACAAAGGGCTGGGTATGGAGAGGGAATGAGAGTTATTGCTTAATGGGTATTGAGTATCAGTTTGGGGTGATAAAAAAAAACTTTTGGAAATGGATAGTAGTGATGGTAGCACAACATGGGAATTAATATTACTGAATTAGACATTTAAGGGTTTAAATGACAAAAAAAAAAAAAAAAACCCACGGTATATACCTTCTGATCTAACAAATCTACCTCTACAGATGTAGGCTAATTTATGGATATATGTAAAGATTTATGAACATGATTGTTTATCTTAGCATGGTCTCTAATGTTAAAAAATTAGAAATCTCCCAAATATCCATAAAATCATTTCTTCCTCCTCAAAACTCCCTCTCCTTCCTCCCCCAGTTCTGTGGGCTGCTTCTCTTCCTGACCCTTTCTGAAATGTTGGTCTTTCCTGGGCTTCCATATCTACCATCTTGCCTCTGTCTTCTCTGAAATCTGCCCTTCAGATCTCTCTCAGAGGGTCCAGTGTTTCCTTGTGGACATCTTCACTCGTGTCTCGCAGGTAATCTCATATTCATCCTTTCCCCAAACCTGACTCAGCTTTATCCTCTCATCTCCACACTGGAGTCCTTCCTCCTGTATTCCTCATCTTGGTCAATGATAATTTCCACCATCACCACCACTTGCCTGAACCAGAAACCTTGGAATTATCTCTAACTTTTCTCTCTCTTTTATTCTATACTTTTAGTTGGTAATGGAGAGCTATCCATTCTAAATCCATTGCCATCAAGTCAAATAGCAACCCTATAGAACAGAGTAGAGCTGACCCATAGGGTTTCCAAGGCTGTAAATCTTTACAGAATCAGACTGCCACATCTTTCTCCCACAGAGTAGCTGGTGGGTTTGAACTGCTGACCTTTCAGTTAGCAGCTTAACCACGGCACCACCAAGGCTTTATTCCATTAATTCTACCACCTTTCTATTTCTTACGGATGTCCCTTTTTGTCCATCATCACAAGTTTGCTGGTATCAACATTCCCTGCCTGGATGAACCTAACAGTTTTCTCCCTACCTCTTTCTCCTTTGGGTCAGAGAACATACTTTATGTGATTTTAGTCCCTTTGAACTTCTGGCCTATGGCCAAGAATATGGTCGACCTTGATCAATGTTCCATGTGCACTTGAATGTGTGTTATTCTGCTTTTGAATGGAATATTCCGTAAATGTTGATTAGGTCAAGTGGCTTATAGTGTTGTTCAAGTCTTATGTATCTTCATGCATTTTATCTCTACTTTGTTTTATCAGTTACTGAGAGAAGTATGAAAATCTCTTGATATCACTGTGGATTTGTCTATGAATTCTTTTAGTTTTTGCTTCATATATTTCTAAATGCTGTTTTAAGGTGCACACACACAAGATTCTTTTACCTTCTTGGTGAATTGACTCCATCACTACATTCTGTCTCTCTTTATTCCTGGCAATAGCTCTTGCCCTGAAATTGACATTGCCTAAATTAATACAACCACACTAGCTTTCTTCTGATTAGCATTTGCAGAGTGTATCTTTTTCTTTCATTTCAATTTTAACGTCTCTGTGTTTTTATATTTTTTAATGAAGCTCTCGAGAACAACATTTTGTTGGGTCTTGATTTTTTTTAATTGAATCTGATGTTTTTACTTTTTATTGGAGCCTTTAATATTTATATTTAATTAAATATACATATGTTGGGTTTCAATCTACCATCTTGCTATTTGTTTTCAATTTGTCCCATCTGTTCTTTTCTTTCCTCTTTTCCTGCCTTCTTTTGATTAACTGGATGTATTTTATGGTTCCATTCATTTGCATCATTTGTTTATTAGCCACACTTCTTTTATTATTTTTTTAATGGTTACTTTGTTGTTGTTGTTATGTGCCCTCGAGTCAGACCCAACTCATAGCGACCCCTCCTTGGGTTTCTGAGGCAGTATCACTATGGAAGTAGATTGCCCCATCTTCCTTCCGAGGATTGGTGGGTGGGTTTGAACCACCAGCCTTCTGGTTAGCAGTCAAGTGCCTTAGTCACTATGCTACCAGAGCTCCCATGGTTACTTTAAAGTTTTCAATATATTTTGGAGTTTTCAATATACATCTTTAACTTAGTACAGTCTCCTTTCAAATATTAGACCATTTCACAAATAGTGTAAAAACTTTACAACATATACTTCTTCCTCCTTCTGTCATTTTGATATTTTGCCATATTGTAACTCTACACATATTATAAATTTCATAACTATTATTAAAAATATTATTTTTTATTTAAGCAGTTCATTATTTTCAAGTAAGTGTTTTATTTTGAGATAATTATAGATTCAGAGTCCTATGTATGTTTTATATATAATGTCTAGTGTTTTCAGTTGTACTTAGTGGGAGGAATAAGGAAACAAACAGGTGCTCCATCTTCTTGGACACAGGACTGTGTTTTGATACCCAAACTCTCTAAGCATCTTCTCTCACCACATCGCGTGCCTTGGAGCCTGTGCTGTCACCAGATTAGATCCCTTGCTGTGTCTCTCTAGGGCAGGCTGCCTCACCCCTCTGTGCAGTTGCTCTTGCTTTTTCTTGTACCAGGAATCATCTGTCACTCTCCCCCCTACACCAAAACAAAATTAAAAAAAAAAAATTGCAACAAACTTAGCTTCTACTTCTGCTCAGACACTCCTCCCTCCAGGAAGCCACCCTTTACCATCCTAGTCTGGGTTAGGTGACCATTCTATTTGCTTCCCTTATAAGATTTATTATACCAAATTGTGGTAATTTACTTTCATGGCTCCTCAATAGTAGCTCCTTGGGAACAGGGACAGTGCCATTTGTTATGGTATTTTGCCTAGGACATAATGTTGTTGTGTGTCATTGAATCAATTGCGATTCATAGTGACCCCATGTGACAGAGTAGAACTGCTCCACAGGGTTTCCTAAGCTATAATCTTTGTGGGAGCAGGTTGCCGGCTCTTGTTTCCCATGTTGTGGTTGGTGGGTTCAAACCACTGACCCTTGCATTAGCAGCTGGGTAGTTAACCACTGCTTCACCAGGGCTGCTCTCAGGACATAATAGGCACTTAAATTTCTGCTGAATGTTTAACAGGATCTTTTCCTCTGCAGGGGACACGGCTGGATAGGGATGGGCCTCCGCGAACTCTCAACCAGAACTTAGAGCTCAGATTTCAGTACTGCAAGGACAGCCGCTGGCAGTGGTTTGTCATCTACACCAAACAGGTGAGTTCTTAGGGCAGAGCCTGGCCAACTTCTGTGCTAGAATGCTCTCTTGCTTACTAGGGTGGACAAAGCACGTTATCTCAACCCACCCAGAGTGCAGAGTGCTAGACTGTGCTCTGCACATTGTTTTCGGTCTATAGTACTTTTTATTTTGTTTGTTTTTTATTAGTTGTCATGACCTTCCTATCGATTAGAAATGAATTTAGTTAACCAAGAACGAACAGATGACCCAACTATGATTTAGCCCAGGGGCTGGCAAACTTTTTCTTAAAAGAGCTAAATGGTAAATATGTGCCAAATGGTCCCTGTTGCAACTATTCAACTCTGATTGTAGCTCAAAAGCAGACGTGGATAATACATAAACAAATGGATATGGCTGTGTGCCATAAAAACCTTAGTTACAAAAATAGGTCCCCCAAAAATTCACTGCTATTGAGTCAGATCTGACTCATAGCGACCCCTCCTTGGGTTTCCGAGGCGTTATCACATGGAAGTAGATTGCCCCATCTTCCTTCCGAGAAGTGGCTGCTGGGTTTGAACCACCAGCCTTCTGGTTAGTAGTCAAATGCCTCAGGCACTACAGTACCAGAGCTCCTACAAAAATAGGTAGTGAGCTGGATTTGGCCCATGGGCTGGATTTTGCTGACCCTTGGTTTAGACGTGCAGATTTCTATTATCTCAATAGGAACCCTCGAGGTAGATGACTGGCATCTCTGTCATTCTCTTTCTAAGCAGATGAAAGCTATCCTTTTTATCTGGAAAATAAAAACTTTCTCCCAGAAGCCTTCTAGGAGACTTTCCATCATATCTCATTAGCCAGAATTAAGTCACATGACTACTCCTAGTTGTAAAATCGAAAAAAAAAAAATACTAAACTCCCTACCATCATGTTGCATCTGACTCATAGTGACCCCTCCTTGGGTTTTCAAGGTGGTATCACTATGGAAGGAGCTCTGGTAGCATAGGGGCTAAGGCACTTGACTGCTAACCAGAAGGCTGGCAGTTCAAACCCACCAGCCACTCCTCGGAAGGAAGGTTGGGCAATCCTACTTCCGTAGAGATACTGCCTCAGAAACCCAAGGAGGGGTCGCTATGAGTCGGGCCGACTCGATGGCAAATAACAACAACAACATCACTGTGGAAGTAGATTGTCTGATCTTCCTTCTGAGCAGTGGCTGGTTAGCAGTCAAATGCCTTAGGCACTATGCCACCAGAACTCCCCCTAGCTGTAAGGGAGTCTAGAAATCAAGGATCTAACAAAAAGGAACAGGACTCCTGATCAGCTTAGAATAAGCATGATTCATTGCCTTGGGCTTGGTACTTTGTCATCTCAAATAAAGTCAAGGCTCTGTTAACAAGGAGGAAGAGGGTCAGGCTCTTGGGTGTAATTATCAGTGTCTGCCACAGACTTGTAATTGAAGTCGGAATAAGAATCCTTAAAAAAAAAAATCTAATTTGCTAAATACCAAATTAAATTGTAAAAATATTTTTATTGAACTAACTTAAAGTGTTTCAAATTGGAATCAACTCTACAAATGTTCTAAAGCAGAATCAAAATTTCACAGTAATCTTTTCATCGACATTATACTCAAGTCCTCACACTAAATTCCAAGGAGTATTCTGGTTTAGGCACCCAAACCCCTTCCAGTTCTCCACTCCCAGCACATCTGTGGTCATGGAATAATAGACATCAAGGTTCTCTGAAAAACACGAAGCACTAAACCAAGATCTTAAGTTGAAGAAATAGGCCCCTTAGGTTTACCTTAAATATGAAACATCCTGAGGGAAGTGGTAGGATGGTTTGCTGAAGCAAGATTTGTGGTTACTTGGAGAGATGCAGGGATTCAATGAAACCACTTGCCTGGAATGTTAAGTGCAGTAGTTAAGTTTTATTGTGTTCTTTTAATCTCTTCAGTAGCAAATGAGTTTAAACCACTGTGGAGAGGTGCAATAAACATTCTTTTGAAGGATTCCTAGAAAAGCCTTATTTTCTCTGGAGTGTGAGTTTACTGATATGCACCCAGTGGCTACTTCTGCACAAGGCAGAAATGTACCTTGCGTGCCCTGCAAATATAAATGAGGGCTTGGGCCCAAATCCTTTTTAGACTGTCTAAACAAAAGCTCGATCCCTTTATTTTTCATAATCTTTACCTGGTTAATAGTCGAGTTCTAGCATACATGTTTGTGTACCTGGTATAGGACTGTAGAATCACTTCACTTCTTGTGGACACCCTTCCTACCTATGTCAGCTTCGCATCCCCTCCCCCCAAGGGGGAGGAAGATATTGAAAGTTTTTTCCTTTTTTGTCAAAATACACAAAAACAACATACATCCATTCAGTAATTTTCACATGGACAGTTCATTACCAACAGTTACATGCTTCATACTGTTCACCTTTCTCCCTATTTCTGCCCATAGTGTTTTACCACTCTTAAGACTCTCTCTCTGTCCCTTAAAGTTCTTGTTCTGTGTTGTAGAGTTAGTTGTCTATTTCATCCAGAATAGTTAATTCTTTAAAATATGCAATGCTCAAGGCGAGCATTCTTTATGAAATAAGCTAAATTGTTGTTTACTTTAAAGATGACTTCATGGGATAGTTTTGGTTCAAGGCTTAAAAGTTGTTTCCAGGCAATAGATTCAGGAGCTCCAGCAGTCTCTCAGCTTAGGATTTGATGTTTAACTATTTCATACACTGGTTTTGTAGACCTTACATGTAAACCAAAAAACCAAACCAAACCCACTGCCATGGAGTCGGATCCTACTCATAGCGATCCCTCTTTGGGTTTCAGAGGCAGTATCACTACTGAAGTAGATTGCCCAACCTTCCTTCCCAGGAGTGGCTGGTGCGTTTAAATCACCAGCCTTCTGGTTAGCAGTCAAGTCCTTAGGCACTACGCTACCAGAGCTCCTACCTTACATATGTTGTTGTTGTTGTTGTTGTGTGCCATGGAGTCGGACCCCGACATCGAAATTCATTTTATTTGTGGGAAAGGAACGGAAGGAAGAGAGAAGAAAGGGGCTGCCACCAATACGGAAAAAAAAGAGTAACAGATGGAGGGTTTATATGTAGTAACAAAATTTGATATCCTCCTAGATTTGTTAACAACTAGTCCTGTTTATCTGTGCGAATATGTAAGGTGGGAGCTCTGGTAGCATAGTGGCTAAGGCACTTGAATGCTAACCAGAAGGCTGGCGGTGCAAATCCACCAGCCACTCCTTGGAAGGAAGAGGGGGCAATCTACTTCCGTAGTGATACTGTCTCAGAAACCCAAGGAGGGGTCGCTAAAACTCTACATCTGTTCCTTTTTTTCTTATTGGTGGCAGCCCCTTTCTTCTCTCTTCCTTCCGTTCCTTTTCCACAAATAAAATGAATTCCAATGGTTCTCTACAGCCCCGTGTGACTGAGATATTGCTTCTAAGCTTCCTACTTTCCGTGTAGTTTTGCTTTCTATGCCCACCCCTTTGGCCACCACCCAGCCTGGGTTTTCTCTCTCTCTCTTCTCCTTTCCTTGCTCTCCGTCTCCCCCAGCACAGAGACTGTCCCTGAACACACAGCGTTCAGGCCTGTCGTCTCAAAGCTTTGAGCTTCAGTTTTCTCAAACCCCAAAGGGCAAGAAGAGAGTTTTTCACCCCAGAACTGAAAGCAAGAGCAAGACAAGGGAGGAAGTGGATGAATGGGAAAGGAGCAAATGGGAAATCATAGGGAACCTTACCTTTGGTATATATGGGTGCAGATCCTGGAACAAGGAAGGCCCGGCTTTTGTTCTGTGAGTCTGTGTGTGTTGTAAAAATAACAATGAGCATTAAACCACAGGTGATATCAGGGACAGCTATCAGTCTTGCAAGTGAGTGACTGAAAGTCCTGGAAAAATAAGAAAGTAAAGAAAAAACTGTTTTTGTTTTTTTAGTTCAATAAAAGCAACAAAGTACTAATATATTTTCCCAAATAGACAGGCTACTATTTATCCCTAATAATAGGTCCTCAATAATTAGGTATATAATTAAATGCAAGGTTGACTGTCATCAGTTTAGTTGATTACAATGATAAGTGGTTTTTATTATTTGGTGCTTATAAAACATGATCTTCTGCTTATAAAATAATACAGCAAATGGATGAGGAGGATGTCTTAAGAGGGAAGAAGATTAGTACTGAGATCCTGGCCATTTTTCATCTGTCTTTTAAAACTTTTCTGTAAATCTATCCCTATAACTGAAAGCATGTATGGTTATGTGCTAATTACATCTTGTGTAAATTTCTGGAAACTTAAGAAGAAATCTAAATTCTTGAACACATAGTGTTGGAGGGCGGAGCTCGACCCTGCTTTGTGGTGGGAGGAGGAGGAAAGGAAGAGGGTGAAGAGCTTGTCTGTTTCTGGATTTATTAGGCTTTTTTGCTGAGTAGCTGCCTGAAGAAGATGATCTCAGAAAAGCTGGTGAAGCAGGCTGCAGAGAACCCGGAAATGGTAAGTGCTCCTATCTGTGTATCTTTTCCAATTGGAAGTTCCCACCATCAGCTGACATTTGGGACCAAATCACACTGCTGGATTCCCTGGGCCAGCAAATCTGATTCTCAAGGGAGGAATACAAAGGATGCCCAAGTGAGCCCCTCTTCCCTCTGGGATTGGTCGGAGCTCCATGTGTCAGAAGGGCACAGCGGAAGGAAGCCTATCTTTAGAATTCAAGCCATTTTTTCAACAGAAGTCAACTCTGGAATGCTGAGAGCCTTGTAACCCTCTACTCTGTATCCTTTCCTTTCTGCCTCCCTCCAAATACAGAATTTCTGATTTACCACAAAAGCTACACCATAAAGTCAGTAGCAAGGGGGTCTTTAATGCTGCAGCAATCTAGAAAGAACCCATAGCCTCTGGATGTTTCTCTTGTGCCAAATTAAATGCCGTTAGCAGCTGGGGAAAGCCAAAAAATAAAAGAAACTTCAAGATTCTAATTTTTCCTCAATGTAAAATTGAACTTTTCTATTCTACATCTCTTCTGCATGTTCTAGTAACTCATTGAAATGAGTGATAGTAATCTATAAAACAATTACTGAGATTTCCTCTCCTATTTGCCTTGTCATCATGATATAACCATGTTCAAAATTAGATAATGTCTTTTGATTTAATAAAAATGATTCCAAGTGCTAATGACTGCTACACATTTGTTGACATATATATATGTTGTTGTTGTTGTTGTT